GTTGAGAGTAATATTAGCATTGATCAAACGGTTTTGTTGGGTGTGGATGGTACTACTTGTGGGCATGCTCTCTTTTATATTCGTAGGAAGGTTATGGTATTAACTAATTCTTTGGAATGTTCTTATAATGTGGTTAAGAATGATATTAATGCTGTTGCCAGTGCCATGGCTAGCTTTGGTATCCGGTTTCCTGAAATTATTGATCTTAATTATGCTAAGCTTCCGGTGCATATTCAAGGCTTGATCAATTTAGATAAGAGGAAAGTTCCCTACGTTTTGGGTTAATTATCGATTTTTTTTTTCTTTTTCCTGTTGTGGTGGCTCTTCCTCTGGTTGTTGGTTTCGGTTTTTGGCTGGCGGTTCTCTGTTGCATTCTTCTTCGTGGTTGGCCTGCTGTGTTCTCCTTTTAGCTACTGTATTTGCTGTCTTTCTGATCTGGCTAGTGTGGGGCTTTGCTGGGTGTGGTTGGCTGGAGCAATCCTCGGTTGGCTGTGCCTTTCGTTCAGGGAGTTCCTTTTTCCTCTATTGCTTTGTGTGTTCTATTTTTATTTGCTTTATTGTTTGGATGGCTTAATCCTGTTTTTTGTATCTCTGCATGCCTGGTGTGCAGGTTTTTGGAGCATCGCGCTCGTTTTGTGGCAGGGTTCGTATCCTGATTGGTAGATTAAGCTGTTTATTTTTTGGGTTATTAGATTGTTTCTAGTGATCTTTGTAATTTGTGTTGCAGGGAATTCGGGCCCTTAGGTTTTCTTTACTTTTTTTGATTGTAGCTCTTTGAGCGGTAGCGGGCTAGAATTCCCTTTTTGGACTTCTGTAATTTTTACCCTTATTAACGCGTAAGCCCGTCGGTGGGTTTTAACCAAAAAAAAAAAAAAAAGAAGCAGGGAAAGTTGCAGGGTATTTTTGTATGGTCTGCAGATGATTCAAAGAGTAATGGTTTCAGATATGAGAAGACATCTCAGTATATCCTTACAGATTACTCTCCTTGATTTCAGTATCATTAGTTGAAATACTCTGTCTGCAAGTATTGTATAATGTAAGCTTATATGTATATCTGTGTGGATATGGTGCATGGTTTATATTATCATATGTGTAATTGCTATGTTCATTGTATATTAAGTTAACAATCATGCATCAACGGGCGTACATGTTAAATCATAAAAAAAAATACAAGTCTTTAAAGTGATCAAATGCTCGCTAATGCTTGATATTTTCAATACTAAAGCAGCACTAGCATTTATAAGGAAATAAAAAACCTTTTTTCCACAAATTTTCATCCACAGGAAGATAACCTTTAATGCACCTCCAAGCAAGAATCGAAGTTTGGTTGCACTACTGTAATCTTGTAGATATTGTTTTGATTAATGCTAACTGCTATGTTGTGGATATTCTTAAAGTTTGGTTTACCAAGCCTAGAGGTCATATTTTGACTCTCGTACCTCCTATTCTGATCTTATGGTATCTGTGGAAAGCCAGAAACGATTCTAAGCACAAGGATATTAAGATGGTTGCTTTGCATATTATTAACAATGTTAGAAACAAAATCATTCATCTTTTATATTCTAATCTTATCTCTGCTAAAAATTTCAGAACCTGTACTAATTTAGCTAATTACTTTGGGATTCATAACATCGGTTCTGACATTATTAAGGTTGATCGTTTGGTGCGATGGCTTAATTAAACCCTCTTTACCTTATGTTAAGCTTAATTCGGATGGTTCTATTTCTTCTAATAATGCTGGCATGGGAGGTATTATTAGGAACTATATGGGTGTTCCTATTGCTGCTTTTTCTGGACCTTTAAATCGGTGTTCTGTTATCACGGCTGAGCTTCAGGGCCTTTCTTATGGCTTAAATATTTGTGTTAGGCTTGGCATTCAGCATGTGATGATTGAGGTAGATGCTTTACATTTAATTAGCATTATTAAGGAGGGTAATGTTGGTAATCCTAATGATTTTTACACTATTCGTCAAATTAGAATGTCTCTGTCGAATCTCATTTTTTCTATTTCTCATATTTATCGTGAAGGCAATGTGTGTGCTGATTGGTTAGCCAAGCATGGGTCTCATAGTGAGATGTATCATGAGTTCAATGTGTATAATCTTTCTCTTCTCCTTAAAGGTCTCATTAATCTGGACAAAATTGCTCTCCCTTACCTGCGACATGGTTGATTTGTTCTTGCTGTTGTCGGATTTTTTTCTCTTTTTCTTGTAGCTCTTTTGAGCAGTAGCGAGCTAGTGGATCCTTCTAAGGACTTTGTAACCGATCTTTTTTAGATTAACGCGTAGGCCCCACTGCGGGTTTTAACCAAAAAAAAAAAATGCTCGCTAATGCTCAATGAGCTACGTGTACATTTAAAATAAAAAAGAAATCTAAAGAACCAATGATCCCTACTACAATATATGATAAAACAGAAGAAGGAAAAGAAACATAGCAAAAAGCTACGACAGGCAAGAAGCCAAGCCCAAAAAATCCAGATGAACCGACCCCGGAGCCAAAGCTTGGGTATATGGCTTTGGAATTTACTTGTTGCTTGTTTGTATGCTTGTTTCTACCTTCCTGAAGAAAAGAGCTTAAGTAATTGGAGATTCTGATCATCATTCCAACTATAAAATTCCAACATTTATTTAAAGTTAATATATTTTCAAGGCTATCTTGGGGTGTCAATTTTAGACACAACTTGAAAAGTGACCCAGAAAAATCCGGATTCGGATCGACTTATTTGTGAAATGGGTCGGGCCAAGGTTCGGATAATTCTGACCCGTTTGAAAAATGGGTTTCGAACGGGTCGGGTTCAGAAAACATGCAGGTCAACCCGGCTAACCCAGATCCCGTGCGACCTAACCTGGTTCTGTGTGCTCCTTCCTAGCCCCGGCTTCCGTACTCAAGTCAACCAATGCTACACGCACCTGCAGCCTACCAACTAGCTGGTCATTATTGGGTTGTTAGCAGTTTATTTTATATAAAATCTCATCAAATCATTATTGGGTTGTTAGCAGGTTTAGGGTCTACTGGTTGGTTTACTGTTTCAATGATCATTTTGTCACTCTTTTGGTTGGGTGCAGTCATTTGGTTGTGATCTTCGATAGTAGGTCTTGCAGTTTCTTCCTTTCTGTTTATTATAAGAGCTTTGGGTTTTTTAATAGATTTTTGTGGTTTTGGAGGCTTTGTGTTTTGTGGGTTTGTAGCCAGTATGATACATATGCTGCTGATGCGGGGAATAAGAATTTTCAGTTGTTGAAGACTAAAATTTTGCCGATGATACTTTTATCTTATGTTTTTCGGAGCTTATAAACGATCATCAGGTTAGCTCTTTCATTTTTTACAGTTTGTTTCTATTTGTTCCCTTCTTTTTTGTAGGAAGTTTGAGCTGAACGGGTTACATTTGAGCTTCCTTTTTTGGGTGCTGCCTCCTTGCAGCCCGTGCCTTTACTTGTATTTTTTTTTGTAATCTTAGGAAAAGGATCCATCGGCTCTTAGGTTCTTTTGCTTTTTTTCTTGTAGCTCTTTGGAGCAGTAGCGAGCTGGAGGATCCTTTTAAGGACTTTGAAACCGTTTTTTTGAATTAACGCGTAGGCCCCTATATATGTGGGTTTTAACAAAAAAAAAAAGGTCTGAGTTTTGTTGAGCTCCTCTGCTATATCTTTTTGGTTGTATCCTTGTGTCTGCGTTCAATCATTTTGATTTCATATTGCTGCTTATGCCTTGCTTTTTGTGATTGTTATTTGCAGGTGTGGGTCTTTTTTGCAAATATTTGATTTGCACCTGGTTTTTAAAGATTATCCAAGTTATGGATTATTTTTTGAGTTATGACTGCTTGCCTATCTTCTTTTGTTCTTTTCTATGTATTGTAGTTGGGATTTTTTGCTCGTAGGGTTTATTTTCACTTTTTTTATTGTATCTCGATGAGCAATTAGTGAGCGTTAGATCAATGTAAAGACTTTAATAATTTTTTTATATTAACATGTAAGCTCTTTTATGAATTTTAACAAAAAAAAAAGTCATCATGAGTGTCCTCTAGTTTACTTTTATCAAAATGGCATGATAGAGGCAAAAAGAGACAATGTGAGAGTCTCTTCATAATTCTAATTAACATCATAATGAATTTACTCAATTTTTGACAGTAGTGATCGATCCTTATGAATGAGTAAATGCTTATAATTAATGCTGGCCTTATTATTGTGGTTGCAAGTTTTTTTCTTGATATTGTTGGCTCATTATTTTCTTGACTTAATTATATTCCTCTTATTTTTGTGTCAAAGATTTCCCTTTTTATTCGCATATGATAATCTTTTCTTTTCAAGCATTACTGGAAAAAAATATTTCCATAAATCCATCACATAAAATTTTTAATCTCTTCTTCTTATTATTTTTTCATTGCTAAGCTATTAAATTTTTTTTCTTTATTATAAAAGTGGGAAGCTTAGTTTTTTTTTTTTATGAAAAAAAAAAAAAAAGGATTTCAAATATGTAAATAGCTAAAATTTGAACCACAGGCAAAAACTCCTATTAATTTCAACCACCTTTAACACAAACAAGTTTTTAATTCTATAAACACTGAGCGTCTTCAATAAAGGCATGGTCCATTTTCATGAGAGAAAGAGAGAGAAAGAGAGGGAAATTTAGGTAGAGAAGCAGAAAGATGTGTTGGCTATGGGATAAAAGGAGAAAAGGTGAGAATAAGACAGGAGAAGCTTAAGGAGCTATAGGAGGAGGTGTGGATATTTAGACACAAGTTGACACTTTTAGTAGGTCTTGTAGAGAGCTAAACCTGTAGCCTTCTTCATGTACATAGTTATCCAAATTGAAAATATTTATCTTGTCGCAATCTAAGAGTAGAACTTATATGAAGGAAGTGAAAAGTAATATAAATAAGGCATAAATACATTTAGAAAATTAGCCTGTCCATAAATATTACAGATATTCTTATATCAGAGATAGCCAAGAAGAGAAGAAGAGGAAGAAGAAGAAGAGTTGAGAGAGAGAGAGAAGTAGAAGAGATGGGGAGAGGCCGAGTAGAGTTGAAGCTAATAGAGAACAAGATTAATCGACAGGTGACCTTCTCCAAGCGTAGAAATGGGCTTATGAAGAAGGCTTTTGAGCTCTCTGTTCTCTGTGACGCTGAGGTCGCTCTGATCATCTTCTCCAGCAGTGGAAAGCTCTTTGAATTTGGCAGCCCTGAGTACACCCTCTCTCTCTCTATCTCTTGTTTTTTTTATTCGTTTACATTGCAAATACAAATTTTTTTCTATGATGTCATCTCAGTTATTAATTATTGTTTTTCTGTCCGCTTTTTTTTACTGATTCCAACGTCGTTTCACTGCTTTTTCCATCGGTTCTTATTCTTTCGAAGTTATTGTTTCAGTAAATTTCAAAGCCCGAGAAATGGCTGCTGGGTTTCCCGCTGCTTCCCTTTATGTTTCTCTCTCCTTACTTGCTCTTGGTCAGGAAGAATGGAGGTTTTTTTTTCCTTGATTATTTAGAAAAATAGCTATATTCAATTTTTTAAACAGTCAATCTTTGTTCTATTTTTATGAGATTTGAATACATTTTGGTTTAAACTGACCAGAATAAGTTAAATTTTCCTTCTTTTTTAGCTAAGATTTAAGCTTTGTTCAATTTTTTTTTGTGAAAAATGACCAAATATCAGCATTTTTTTAGATTTGCGACAAAAATCCAATCTTTTCTGAAACTTCTGATGTTTTAGTCATTTTTTTTATGGTTTGTAGCTGCTGTTAGTGTAACTAGAACATTTTCACGCCAGAAATACTAAAACTTCTTCAAAAAAATCATGCTATGAAGTCCAAAACTGCATTGATCCCAACAAAAGAGTCGATTCTGGCCAAATTGTTTAAAAAAGCTTTAACTAGCTAGATTTTCGTTTCAGTTTTCAAACTGATCAATTCTTGTTCTTATTTTGATCATGATTTGTAATGGGCTTACTATGAATGCGTCCCATGATTTACATTTGAAGCTTTTCTTTCTTCTTTTCGCATTCTGAACAGCAAGCATATGGATCACATGAAAGGTCTAATTTTTTTTTAATTCTTGGATTAATTTTCGTTATTTCTGCATGTTCTTCTCAAGGTAATTTATACAACTCAAAGTGTTTATGTTCTTCAAAACAAAAAACTTGTTATGGTCAATTACAGTTGATATACAAGACCTGCTAATTTACTATATATCAGCAATTGTGAAATAACAAAGAACAGATGGATTACTGTTATTGTAAAATTGAACTGAAATGAATAAATCTTCTGCTAGCTATATTCTGTTGATGCAGGTCACTATTAATTAAGAGATAGTTGGAAATGAAAGCAGCAGAATTAAGTATTCACAATTGTATACACTAATTAATCTCTTAAGAAACCTACTTAGGTGAAATATAACTCTCAATTTTCTTAAATAGGAAGCAAATTGGATCCAATTAACAAGAGAGAATTTCATGTTAAATGTAAATTTATTTGAAGAGAGAAGCATTAAGTGTTATTGGATTAAGAATCTAAAACATATAATTACAAAATATCTATATATTCCACTAACATCATTGGTCTTTTGCATCCTTATAATATGAAAGAGTGATTCTTTCTTCTCCAAAGAAATTGATCACATTTCATAAGATAAGGACCCATTCATTTTGGTTGAGCCACATAAATTGTGAATACAAGAATTAAGAAACTATCAGTACAAGGCTTCATCTGGGATGGCTTTTTTATTGCTTCTTAAAATAATTTTAAGTTAATATATATATATATATATATATATATATATATATATATACTAGAAAGTTGTTTTAATTAGAAGCAGTAAGAAAGCCGTCCCATACAAAGCCTTAGTAGATTTAAAAAAAATATCATCACTAGCGCCTAATGATCCTCTTAACAAAGCTGGTACATTGAAAATGCAGCTTAATGCTTCAACATGAAATCAGATTTGCCAATTACAAGATCACATTTGAAGCTCACAAGAAGAGTTGCAGTTTTTATAACTTGAAACTAAAGATCACCATTGACAGAAAGTAAAATTTACTTACAAGCATTCACAAACAAGGAAATATATGGAGTCCTGTGACTTATCATAATAGAAAGATGATTGGAATAAACAATAAAGTGTTCATAATAGTTTTTTTATTTCAAACAACTTCCAATAAATTGCATGATGGAATATATTGAATTTATGTTTTCTCTGCACATTTTCTCTATAGATGGATGGACAGACATTTTTCTTTATGCCTTAAAATGAGACTATTAAACAAAGGAAAAAGAAGACATGGGCATCATATTTCTAATTTTTCCAGAAGAAGAGAGGGAAGGTTAATTGCTGACAAACTAGCTAGCATATTTGATGTCTAGGAAATAATTAACTTGGAATAACTAATTTGCAAAGGCCAAAACTCTTCTCTTTTGCAAAGATTATTAAAATTATAGATGTTATATATGTTGCATTGAAGCTGAATTGCAGTTTGAACATACATTGGGAGAAGACTTATCACAACTATATATATTTGGAATTCTTTTTTTTTTTTAGCATTGCTTGGACCATCTATATTGATTCTCTTGATTTGTTTGGTCTAAATATTATTAAAGTTGATTTCCAATATCGAATCATCTTTAATTTGGAAAGTTTAATAACATTTAGATCAGTCAAATCAAGAGAATCCATATGATCCAAAACCACATCGATCATCGATCCATGCAAAATTCCCCATCATCCTAAATGGAAATTGAGTGGGCTGTAGGGCTCAACCGGCCATCAGAAAGATCATTAGGCTACAGAACTCCCATATAGAGCCCATCCACGTACATTATCCACAAGGTTATTATTAGAGATTGATGAAATGAGAATGTGAATAATCAAGACAAAGTTCAAAACATCAAAACCCCCCAAAAGCTCACCAACCACCTCTTCCACATTAGAAACATAGGGGACATTAATATTATTATTAGTATCTAAGGTACTTATAAATATTATAAATAGGTGCTAGTTTTTCACTTTTAATATATTATTAAGAAATATTATCACATCTATTAAAATTGAATATCATATACTTAGTATTTGTCATATTGACTTAACTCACTTTATCTTCTAAATATTAATTTCTCCATAAAAATATACAACAAAACACCTTACATAAAACATCAATTATAAGCATCTTTAGAACTAATATAAAAAGATACAAACTCAATGTTAATATATTATTTTGATATAATCTTATAATTAAAATCTCTTAGACCGCTACACACACACACTCACACACCTTCAATGATTTCAATATACTTATAGTTATTAGTTCTTAATGTGTAAATTAATTCTCAATACTCAACCATATGCCTTTACAATCTCTATAATAATCATAAAAAAAGGCCTTCTCTACTCTATATGTTTATACTAATTATTTCATGATAAAAAAAACATTCAATATAAGACATTTCTAGTATGAAATATAATTAATTCTAAAAAATGAATACATCTTTTTTTTCCATGTTCAATTTCTCCATCCCATAAAATTGATTGCATTACTCATAAATTTAATTTATGTACATTTATTGGGATCTCAAATTTTAATTTCCTTTATTCTTAAATAATGACGCCCAAATGATTCTTCTCCAACATTTGGCATCATCTTATAAGTCCTTGAAATTGTATTTAAAAATATTAATTTGTTAATCAAATCATCATAATATCCCTATAACTCTTAAATATCACTAAACATCGATCTCACATGAACCTAAAGTTATACTTTATGCCTCTTTTTAAGAACAAGTTTTGCTTCATGTTTTTAATCAATCTATGATATGCAAGTTTTGGTCCTTTTTTGGACTTTGTACCTTTTATTTTGATGAAATTAAATTTTCCCTTTTCTTAAAAAATAAAAAATCTATGATATCCATAAGTGTTCTATTGATTATATTCTTCTTAAATAATTAATTTCTTCAATAAAGCCTTTATTTGATAATTTTACAAAGTAATATTTTCATTGGTGGCTTCATTTTAACTAAGATTTTGTTATTATTGCTTGTAAGGCATATATAGTTAATAGAGTCTATAGATTCCTTATGACTTGATAAGTTATTCTTTATATTTTCATTTTTTTTCTTTGTATTCATCATACTATATAAATAACTAAAACTTAACGCTTTTACTATGCTCTTTATATTCTTTGCAAGACTTTTAGCTTTCTAATAATACTTATGATGAGGCTAAACCAAAGGGTCTTAGCTCAAGCAATATTCTTTTTAGTTGTCAATGTATTGGTATAGGGTTTGGCCGGGATCCAATGATCATGGGGCAAAGGATTTTCATATTTCCTAATATGTATTTAAATATGTAATTGGCCATATATCCACCTTATAAAAAAATTATTCTAATCTATATTGCATTTAATTTTTTTCCAACCTTTAAAGATATCTTTTTTTTTTTCTTAAAAGTTTTTGTGATTATCTCTTCTACTAAGGTTTCTTACAAGTGTATGATAAATTTTTAGAGATTTTTATTGAAACCTCTATGATGATCTTCACAATGAAACAATCACTCAATATATTATTACTGGGATTGGAGGTTCCTTTTAAGGACTTTGTAAACCGCTTTTTGGATATTAACACGTAGGCCCCTCCGTGGGTTTTAATTAAAAAAAAAAATCACTCAATATATTATATTATGATTAATTTAACTAAAGAACTTTAATTCTTCTCTCATAGCAAATTAAATATAATTATGTTCATCATTATAATTTTGTATTTAAAATTTTATTTATTACCATACAAACCTTTTTACTATTGCTAAAATTTTTAGTATATAATAAATTATAATCTTCCCCAATGTACTTATATTTTAATTTGTCCTTTTTATTTATTTTCTTATAATTAAAAAATATAATTAATATTTTAATTAATTATTATACCACTTAATTCTCTTATCATCAAAATCAAGAAATAATGGAATTTTCCTGCACTATCTGTGGGGTTAAAATCTAGAAATAGCATTATGACCACCTTATCTAAATTAAAATATACGTGATATATTTATTTCTTTTTTAAAGAAAAAAGTGAGAACCAATATTGACATAGAAAGATCATTATGAAGAATAAATCATCATAAAAATCATGTATATGATGCATGTAAAATTAGTACGTACCATTATAGTTCTTAAACCTAGGACCGAAATTAAAGAATTACTTGAGC